TTTTTAAATTTCGGACATCCGGATTGCTGAACCCCCCCCCATGTCTGAGTTTGTCCTGATTTTCCAAATACCCCTCCCTCCCCCTCGGCTCGACATTCTTTGTGAATGGCCCCTTAGTTTGATCTAATCATGTTATATCACCATGTCGTGCTACGGCATGTAAAGTTAGCCTAGTTTATGTCTTAGACCTAATTTAATAAGGGTTTGGGGTTGCGTTGCGTTATGTTATTTAAAATTACATTAGGTCGCCCTACATCGTCCACAGTTATAACTGTCCACAGTTGCTAATGGTGAGCAGGACAACAGATGCTATATTGTACTTGTCGGGGCAATTTTTGCAAGTAAACATATAAATAGCGTTATGTTTTTCGGTTACATTTGTTTTGTCTTTATGATTATAGTAAACTTGGATCTCAGTTTGCATGTTGGTTAGATCCAAGTTAAATTACTAATCATAAAGACAAAACAAATGTAACCGAAAAACATAACGCCATTTACATGTTTACTTGCAAAAGTCAAAAATTGCCCCGACAAGTACATATAGCATCTACAGTGTCTGCTCACCATTAGCAACTGTGGACAGTTTATATAACTGTGGACGATGTAGGGCGACCTAATGTAATTTTATATAGCATAACATATTAACATATATAACATGACATGAGATGACATGACATGGCCGGCCCAAACCCTTATTAAATTAGGCGTAAGTATAAACAATAACTAGGCTAACTTTACATGCCGTAGCACGACATTGTGACATAACATGATGAGATCAAACTAACACAACAGAGCCAGAGATCCTAACTGTCTATATATAAAATATACTAGGAGTTACTATCGTAAAGAAATTACTGCCTCGCCCCTAAGGGATTAAAGCCAGGCAGCATGCAGGATTCGCTGAATAAGGGGCTGAACACATTTATATGATCCTACTTTGCCAGGACAAGTTGTGAGGCAGTATTATTTTTGATGTATTGAAATAAATTATGGTGCACGATTCAGCAAAAAACGACATAGTTAACTGTAAACTAAAAGCAATAAAATATATTATGCCTCAAATTCAAATTGTCCTATAAAAGAACAGCATTCGTAACACGTGACAATGTGTTTTTTTTTTTACGGTATTTCACTCAAATTCATGATTTCGCAATGCAGCGTGAGATCCACTGTGGTGGATATTATAGTATCTCACGCTCACACACGACGAAAGAATACCATGCACGCTCTTAAAGAACATGGCATTCGCGAGCTGTTGTTTGTAATTTCGTACCGGCGCGTACATGCAGATTTATTGATTTACTGTAACCAAAAATTTTTAAGACGTACGTTACCTTCAATAATCCAAAGAATACATGCGCAAATATTTTAAAGAGAAAACGTCAAAACACAGGTATACATAAGAAATTAAAAATTGTATTTGCTTTATAGTTAATATTCAGCAAGTTTTAAAGTTTATTCTGAACTTATTATAGTGGTGTCTTTTACCTTCGGTATAATATATCATTTAGGATTCGCCGAAACATTACCCTCAGTGATGATATTTCAAATATTAAATAAATATCATCACTTCGGGTAATATTTCGCCGAATCCCTCTCGCTTCGGGTCTATAAATGATAAATAAACTATCTGCTAAAGAAAACCTTAACAATTTAAAATAATAGATAATCAGTCTGTAAGCGTCAGTGCATAGTTTTAAATGTTTCTTTATTGGATTGCGAGGCTTCCGAATGTGTGATTAATATATCTCCAATGTTCATCGCGGAGAAGTGACATTATCTTACGTGCATGGGATAATAGCGTGAGGTGGTTGGAAATACGGCTGCTTTTTCTGGACGCATGTTGGAACACAATGAAAGTACTAAACATTACGTAGTCCACTGTGAAGTTGTCCTTCACGGAGGCCATGATCTGAGTCATCTGACCATCATTGACACAATCACTAGGTCTGCAAGAGAACTTCCAATAAAATCGCCAAGTTTTAATTAATTAACGTTACAAATAAACATTGCACGCGTTTTCCATGTACGCGTTTTCCATGTACGCGTTTTCCATGTACGCGTTTTCCATGTACGCGTTTTCCATGTACGCGTTTTCCATGTACGCGTTTTCCATGTACGCGTTTTCCATGTACGCGTTTTCCATGTACGCGTTTTCCATGTACGCGTGTACGTGTACGCGTGTACGTGTACGCGTGTACGTGCACGCGTTTTCCAGACAACCCATTTGTTCAACAAAGAGCCTGAGAATATAATATTATTTTTAGACTCCTTCGATAATGACCGATAATGTAACCGCTTCGGCCTTCAATGTAAACAATGACGTCACCGGTGGATTTTTCCACCGGTGATATTTGGCGCGCTGCAAGTGACAAAAGTCCTTTCCACAGAGGAAGTGAAGCGCGCCATAGAAGGGCCTGGAAAGGACTTTGGAAAGTCTAATCAACTATATACTTACGCGAGATGTGCGTAAGATAAGATTACACACCTTCATTTATGCAGAGTAGTCCTACATCAGCGACAGAAATGTTACTGCTATCAACAGGAGCTTTGATATATAAAATACATATGTTCATTTAAGTATTATACAACAATTTATAAAAAAGTAAAAGTTCTACAGTAGAAGTTCAATTTAAAATTTAAAAAGCTAAAATTCTCTATCGATCTAAAAGTCATTGAGATGTAAAAGGATGTCTTATAGTCCTAATTAATGCCTTCATTTGTGGTTTCATTAAAGTATAGATGTGGAAGTACAATATTAAAAATCTCATCGTTAACAACACGTTTCAACAATGTTCCCTATATAGTTTAGACGTCAGTATCAAGCAGTTGTCATTAATTATAAGGGACAGCAGCGGTCGTTTCTTTTAAATAATGTATTTAAAACGTGGTTAATGTTGTATATTTAACATAAGCATGCCGAGCTCTCTTGATATGGAAAACAATATAAGTCAAAATACCTTAACTTTAGTACAGAAAGAAATTCGACCAAGCAATTTATCTACACAGGAAAGATGAAAATTGTTAACAACCATACAATAAATAATTTCGACATTTCCCTTCATTGTCAACCAAGTATGACTTATATGATTCATTCTAAACATCTTTCTATCTGAAAGGATAACGTTTTTGTTATTAGCTAGGTGTATTTACAATTGCCTCAATAACATAGTCTGACGTTAAAGGATATGAAGCTGCAAAAACGATATACCTACTGTTCGCTATTCAATATACAAATGTGATTCACGAAATGTGATGCGATTCCTTCATTGACAAAGGTGAATGTCAGTGATCAGGTCTCCATGTGAATATTTGTTTGTATCTTTACTAAAACATAGAGAAACCCATATTGTTTTATCATGTTCTTATATCGTAAACTGAAAGCGTCATTACGTCAACTTTCGCAGGATGGCGAAAAGTTCCAGTGAGAGATTGGATCCAAAATGAAACATTAATTATCGACATGTTCTAGCTTTTGCTATCTTAGAACACATCATATTACCATATAAGGTCAAACAGTTATAATTTGCTACCCAGAATTACAAACACTTGTACGTCTATTGGATAATTGTTTTGAATAGAATGGATGGTAGATGGAATAGAAGAAGAGGAAAAGAGTTTGGATTTGAAGTAAAGAGTGTCAGTTAAGGATCAAGAAGACAGTATACGTAAATTCAATGTGCATGCATGCATGGTACATATATATAATACTTGGTGTAATGACAAATATTGCAAATCAAGGAAAGGGAATATAAAAACAAAGAGGGCAGGAATTGCTAAAATAAAGACGATCACAAAAAATGACAAAATAAAGACGATCCTAGACTTAGATTACTATGAACACTAGCCTAATATTTGTTTACAAATTTTAAGATGTTTTAAGACATCAGCATTTGTTATTCAAATTGTAAGAGAGGCTGGAAGAATACACGATAACAGGCAGCGATAACAGAAAATGATTCGCTGAGGCAGTTTAGGAAAGGGAGCCAGATTATCTTGAATTTATTCAAATTTGGCTTTAAAAAAGCATAGCATATAGTCTCAGAAGGAGCTGCCGCATAATAACCTTAGCTAACACTGTAACAGTTACCTACCTGCAGGCTACAGCTACAAAATGTATAGGTTCATAATCGCGTGTATAATTTTAAAAGTATATTGAAACAAAATGTATTTTATGACAAAATTGTATAGTTTCTACCGCCCTGATTAATTTTGATAAAATAATGCCATTAGGCTACCTTTATACCCTTTCCTTAGTTATAAACGTAGGCCTAGAGCTAATGGCAAAGTATCTCAAGCATTTCTATTAACAAAATTAAATAACATGTCTAAATAAATGCATGCAGTGTGATGGTTCCACATACTCATACAGATTTTCAACTAAAATGCTGTTTGGGACTTTGTTGTATACGTCAATTCACATATAGACTGAACACAACCCTGAAGAAGCTGAACAGAGCGGGAAAAATATAGTCACTATTACCAACTCTTGCATGTCAGCCAAATCCGTTATACACTTTGAGAAAATATGTTGACAGTTAAATCGCGGTTGTAAGGGCAAAACAGTTAAATCGCGGTTGTAAGGGCAAAACGTAAAAGTTGTGTTTTAGTTTAAATAAGTATACTAGAATCTCTAGTTTAGAATCTCTTACACGACATCAATGATAAGAGCTATACGAATCAGAATTTATATGTACTGAAGCAAACTGAAATAAACATACTACTATTTTATAGTAACATATATAAGACGTTAGTCATGTTATAATTGAGTAACACACGTCTTTATAGAGAAAACGTACCTTATATTAAATGGATTATCATTTGTAAACTTTGTTCGTGATGCCGGTTGGTTTAAACTGCAGCTGCTCTCGAATATTATGTTTTTTGTTTAGTCGATTCTGATACCAAGTGTTCATGAATATGTAATAACGCGCTTCCGACCAAACGATAATGAAAATTGAAGTTATTATATCTTGATCAAGGATTATGGGAGACAAAACATGGCTGTCCAGATGTTTAACGGGAACGTTCCTTGCATGTTGTTTAAGGTACAAACGAGTGAACAAACTTATAGAAATACAGAAAGTTTATAAATTGTATAGTGTATACGTATATGAAACAACCGCACGTTACACGTATTAAACCCCTGCAGAGACTGCCATGCAGTGCGTCGTAAACTATACAGTTTTTACAACTGTCGATCGGAATATATTCATTGTTTCCTCCATTTTTATTTACATTCACTCTGCATGTTCATTAATATGTGCAAATATAATTACCAAACGGGAACACAAGCTGTCCTTCGGCCCAATATTTCCCTCACTAGATATGACTGTCTCAAACCCTGGAGTATTTCTAAAGTGGTGCATTGTATATACCTTTAGATAGAAAACATATTTCTTGATTCAAAAGTGGTTATCTTGATTAACGCGATGGAAATAGACATGTTTTATCTTGTAATTCATGCAAGTTGGAAAAACATCTGCTCCTCCGTCTGATAACAAATTTGTTTCAAATTTACTTCGTCTTCGAATCTTGTAATGTTAACCGCACACTGAAACCACCGCCGGTTAAACTGTAATGTTGTAAAGTTAGTAAATTAACTAAAAGTACTGCACATAGTACCATAGCTTTTTATAGTTTTGATCAACCATTGCCAAAGTGCAATTGTTTTGTTTTCTGGACAAAATAAGTTACTATCGATTTGATATTGCATTTTTGATGATCCTATCTCCTATAAAATTTGGCTTCATACATTCTTATGTTGACAAGATGTATAGAATTAAGTTAAAGATCTAGACGAATGCGTAATTGTGCACTGTCATGGACCACTATCAACTGCAATTACAACAATATAACCGTCTACTGCTACAACAATCCGGCTACTGCAACAACCACAACAAAAATTAATAGAAAAGAACAATAGCAATAGGGCCATTTATACGATAGACTATTTTATCTTTACCACAATTGTGATAATACTTTCTTAACTGTGTTTATCCTAACCCACCCTGTCAACTTTCCACATTGTGGGAGGAAACCCGAGCACCCGGAGAAAACCCACGACTTTCGGCAGAGCGTGGGTCTATGCATGGGTCTATGCGAGCACTATGAGTCCGTAGTGAGAATCGAACCCACGAATTTCGAATGTACTAATGTGTTGCATGTTTTTACAAATATGCTAACTTTAATGATTATTTATTTTTAGAGACGTGAAGTAGCAAACTTCCTAAATGGCGAGGTTGTGGACGGTCAGCGGGTCAACGATGCAGGAGTTTCAAAACAAAAAACTGTGGTGCAGTCAGATTCACGTGGCTTCACTTCCAGTCATCTTAAAAAAGAACTTACATACGATAAAGCTCGCAATAAACTGAAACAAAATATTTCACCAACAACACCAGTGTCATCTGATGGTGGAGATCAAGAAAGACCACTTTTTCCTACAGAAAATCATAGACGATAGCATGAATTAGACATAAAATTAATCTATACCGAAGTCTCGAAGATGAAATGGCGACCTTAATTCTTAAACCATTGTGAATGGTATCAATATTGAAGCGAAACTATGGCAAAACAATACAAAACATAAACGCGACAGCAACATGTACATGCATGCATGCAACGGAGAATTATTTCTAGCTATCGTCAGAGGTTAAAGCATGACGTCACCGTAAGGTTGTCGACCTTATGCATGATTGAACGTCACAATTTTGGAGAATATTATATACTGGCCACAGAAACCACAGACATTGCAGGGGATTTAATATTAAAAACATTAATTCTTTCCCCAAAGGCAAAGAATATAATTTATATACTGGAAATAATGCATGTTTCTGAATTTGTTGGGAATCATTTTGGCTTTCTGCATGGGATCGAAGCAAATTAAATGTGTTTTCCTACCAACGGCAACGGTATCAAGGGTGGGCAAAAGGAAAAACATTCGAGGGTACATCAAAATTTTAAAATGTTTCCGCAACAATTCAAATCCATATTGCTTCAGACCAATATACTCCTTGCATGTATATGTAAATGACAAGATGT